GATTAATTTACCAAATTTGTTTCTTGAAACATAACACAATGAATAAAAGTCTAATAACTAAATGGTCTGTAACACAAATGGTAGTAACATATTATCATAACTCTAACATTATCAGATGTTTCAACAGTCTCAAAGCTGATTTGAATCAGAAATACCTGTGGGAACTTTTTAAAAGTGCATATTCCCAGGCTCCACCCACTGGACATTTTGGTTCACAGCCGGGCTGAGGCTTTCTAAAGCTCCTGGGGAGAGTGGTGATCCGTCAGGCTGGGGAGCCAAGAAGCACCAGACTAAGTTGACTCCAAGAACAATGAAGGTAAAACGTAATACAGTGTCTTCTCATCAAAACCAGACTGTTATGCTAAGGGTACTCTTATCTTCTAAACACTGAGAGCACTGATTTCACTTACAACCATCCAACTACACGTCCAGTAGCATATCTCAAAACCTAAAATGGGTGTGCATGCTTAAATTTACAGAAGCTTGAAAAACCAGAGACCCAAGGGCTAAAGGGGGAAAAAAAATCAGAGTTTTGAGAAATACTTTTAAATCACAGATAATGCCTTTTCACTTAAGAGATATCAAAACTCTAGATTCTAGGAGATTTTTTTCAGGAAATGATCCAAATCCAAAAAACTTCTTTTGTGGTTGAATATCTATACCTTTACTGGTTCGTTTAATATCCTAAATATATAGGATGCTTCATGGAAACTTCAATAACATCCTCTTCCATCAGTCATGTGCAATAAAATCTCAAATTTCAAGCTCTAGGAATCTAAGCAATCACTCTTGTTTCCAGAGAACTACTCTATAAAGTGGACCCAGTTTCAGAAGTCATCTGAAACTTCATTTGAAAAGATAAGTGACAGCTTTGGCCAGATCAGTATAGGGACAAATTGTTGTACCATTCATAGATGCATTTAAAGGTGCATCTTCCAAGTGACTTGAGAAACATTTTCAAGTGCTTAAAACACCCATGATCAAAATCCTACATATTTACTAAAAGCGTACATAATTATTAAAATTTTATGATATGCTCAGCATTCTGCTACAGTGGCAAGCCATATTTTGTCTAAATTTAAGCGCTTTTTTTCCTAACAAATTGGTATGTAAACAAACTTAGGAACCACTACGAACATCTTGTGTATCAATGTTGCCGACTGGGAATGGATACACGGTTCAGTGAAAAAACAAAAATGCCAGCATTTGACTTAGTTTTTAGTTTTGATTCTTGTCTCTTTAGAAAACACAGGGCAGGGGTGTGGGGCAGTCACGATATTCTGGATAGACTCACTGCCATCAGCTGTAGAAGGAAAGAAGTAGGGGAGGAGGGAAACAACTGAAAAACTTCGCAGAAAGCTGCCCCTTGCTATCAATAAAGAACTAAATCACAAGGATTTGCCCATGGCTGGTAAAACGGCTTAACTGCTTTCATCTGTTGGATATGTAAACCCGGTTGTGGGCTCATTAGGTCCAACTTGAAGCCAAGGACCAGGTCCAGTGGAAAATCAGCCTGGTCGACTCTCTCACACACCCAAGAAGGAACCGAGCCCCGGGGTCCGAGTTGGGGCGCAAGGGGCACACTCACACTGGCGAGAAGCCGCGCGGTCGGGCTGCCGGCTTCCCAGGCCGACCTCGGGAAAACATGCCCCGACCATTCCGTGCACGCCACAAACGCACACGCTAGGATTCCAGCCCCGCAGGGAGGAGAGGCGACTGGGGAAGCCCGGCTGCCCAGCTGCTGGCCAGCTCTGTGCAAAGGAGCCTGGAGAGGAGCGTCCCCGTACTGGACTCTCCCTCAGACGGCTGGGGTCGTCAGCTCGCGGCCCCCGGGCCAAGTCAGTTCCCACGGGGTCGACAGAGTCAGGAAGTCTGGAAACTAAGTGAGCGGGGCTGCGGAGAGAGAAAGTGGGGAGGCGCCAAGTTGCTCCTCCTGTTTGGGGGCGAAGTTAGGAGTCTGGTGGGGAGCGATGCCGACTGCAGTAACTTATTCTACAGTCGAGCGGCCGTCGGCCAGAAGAGTCCAGGACTCCGCAGGGCGCAGGCGGCGACCCCGACTTCCTCCCGAGCGCGGTCCCGCCAGGCCCAGCCCGCCGCCCGCGGGACGCGCTCCACTCACCCAGCTCCTCCGCCTGAAGCCAAAACGGCGCGGAGACGGCGAGCAGCAGGGCCAGGAGGTCGCTGCGGGCGCCGGCCACCATGGCTCCGCCGGGCGCCAACTTGGCAGGCTCGGCCTCCCCTCGGCGGCCGCAGCCCGGGCCGGGCCGCCTCCTCCGCGGCCGAGCGCGGCGCCGGGACTGGGCGCAGCCGCGGCTCCGGCACCGAATCTCATTGGGGCGGCCGGGGGCCCAGCCCGGCGGGGGCGTCTCCCGCCCCGCCCCGCCCCGCCCCGCGCGCCGGCCCCCGAGGAGGAAGTCGCTCCCCGGCGGCGGCAGGCCGCTGGGGTGGAGGCGAACCCCGCGCCGCCCGCGCTCCCCTCTAGGTGCCGGGCGCTCTCTGCTTCACTCTCCTTTTCCTCCGCCCTTCTCCCCCAGTGCACGTGAACCTGCAAACCTGCAGGACCCCTGGCCGTGAGACCTGCCCGGAGCCGCGCTGTGCCCTGGTCGTCCCCAGAGTGCCCGAGCGCGTGGTGGGCGCTCCAGAAAGATCACTCTCCTCTGGGGCTTTGCCAATTCCACGGGGGTGGGCATGCCATTGACTGCAGCCCTGGGGGACTCGAAATATTGTCAGAGAGAAAGATGATGGTGACAAGATCCAGTTCAAGTCCATTCATTCATTCATTCAAAAGTTATTCCAAAAGTGTGCCTGCCAGACACAGTGCTAAACCTTGTGACACTTGCAGACATTAAAAATAATCAGTCAAGTATGCAATACAAACCGCAGTCGATGACGAAGATTACTAGTGGAGCATCTTCAGGGAGATCTAATTAGATGGCAAGTGACCAAACTGCGGGGTAGGAATTAGCCAGGAAAGGCCTCACTTAAAAAGTGGAGAGTGAATGGGAAACAGAAAGGGGATAGGAAACAGAAGGCGGAGGACAAGAGAACAGACACGGTGTGCAAAGGAGCTGAGAGAGGAAAGAGCCAGGGTCGCTGGAGCAGGGCGAACAGGTGGGCACATGACCAGAGGCGGAAGCCCGAGCACAGGGCAGGGGCCGGAACGTGGAGGGCCTGGAAGAACCTGTGAAGGATGTTCAGCTTGATCCTCGGAGCAACGAGCAGCCACGGGAGGATCTCACGGAGGAGTGACAAGATCCGATTCTCTGTGGGGTGGAGAAGGGCTTGGGAGAGGGCAGGTTGGAAGAGGGGAGAATTACACGGCTATTAGCGAGTAGTTGGATAGGGACGTGGCCATGGCAATGAACAAGGACAGATGAAACGTATTTTAAAGGCTCTCTGACGTCTCCAGATCCCCTGTGGTGTTCCGCTGGGCGCCCGGCGTTTGTCCTGAGTAAGGTTCAGCCACACTTACACCTGCACATGCCGAGAGGGGAAAGCACTGGGGGTGGGAAGGAAACAGTCGCTCCGAAGTATAGTAGTGGCCCGTCACTTCCTCTCTGGATACCCCCGATAGATTCTGCTCATACATGCATTCCTTTTTAACTCTGTGTTTTTAAACAGAGTATAAGCGCTGTTGAAATTTCAGATGAGATTATCTTTGAGGCTTTGCTTTCTCGAAGGTAGCAGAACTTAGAGGAAAGAACTTGGTTGGGCTTTAGAAATGAGGCTGATTCAAGTCTGAATCTCAGATCAGCCACTGACTGGAGTTGATTTTCTCTGGGCCTCTGTCTCTTGGAGTACACACCTAATATTCCTGGCTGTCACAGGGACAAAATAAAATATGTAGATGAAGTTCTAGCATGTAAGGGGTCCTCAATAAATAATAGGTTTAGCATATTTGTATTGAAAGCAAATTCACACCCTTGTTACTATTAAATATTCTTGCACACAAAACATAAAAAGATACTGTGATGAATTGATCCTAACTCTAGCTTTCCCTGGTTCTTCTTTTCATTCTAAGAAGGTGAATGTGGGCAGCTGCTGCTGGCCTCTAACAGGCGTGGCTCTGTGAGCTATGAATGAAGAAAGACAATGGGAGCATTGTTCCTCAGAGGAATTCATAGGGTGGGGCACGTGGGCTCCAGGGGTGGAGGGTGGCGGGGAACCTTTTCCATCTCAGGTGGTACCTTGATGGGAACCCAGCAGTCTATTCTACACCAGAATCCTGAGCCAGATCAGGGGAGAGATTTAGGATCTGGTAACAGAGAGAAAACAACAACAAAAAATGCCAGGTGGATCCTAATACTTTCATTCGCCATTCCTTCCTCTGAAAAAAAAAAAAGGAAAAGAAAAGAAAATCTCTAGTTAAGAAAAGCATAGCAAAAGAAAAACGTGAAAATACAACAGATTATCAATTATATTTTTGTATATGAGAAAATAAATAAGCCCCACTGAATTGATACACTTCAACCACAAAGACTTATGTTAGGCGTGTGAGTGAACCTGTTTTATTCTTGAGTTGATACTATTTTGACTTTTTTTTAAATAACAATGCCTTATGGAATCTCAGAATTGAATGTAAAATTCTAAGATTCCATTAAAAATTATAGTTGTTAGACTCTGGCTACAATATCTCACACACAAAGATTTAAAAACTGCTTATCACATGAAACATCTCCCAAGAGGGTCTCTCCCAAGTCTATTTCACATTTAACCCCTCCCCCTACTTACCATCCTTATTTTGTACTTTTGACTACAATTTATGTTTATATTTGCTAGCTCTTCTGTGAAAATAGAGAATAGCTGTCCAGGGCTGCCTTGCTTTACATATAAAATATATATCCTGTATTGCTTAGGTAAGACAGAATTTCAACAGAACTGCAAGGCTAGTATTATTCTAAAGTAATTAGAAAGCTTTAGATTGTGGTTCAATTTGACAATCTAAACAATTTTGTTCTTAACATTTAGTAACCCTGATTGTGGGTCTATGGAGTAGAACAAAAGAGAGCAATTTGAAACCCTTACAGGCTTCTACTTGCTGAATACTCTCTCTTTTCCAGCTCAATTCAGTAAATATGTTTTAAATGTTTTCTATATGTGAAACAATGTGATGGTGATACAATGAAAACAAATACAAAAGCCTCTCTCTTTCCATAATTCATGCTCTAACGATAGAAATTTGAGCAAAGTAATGATATAGGTTGCTAAGTACGATGATAGTAGAGGCTCAGTGTTACAGAATCACAGAGGAGAGGTATCTAACTGGATTTCAAAAGCCTAGGAGGGTGTGGGAGGGGTGAGCATGAGAATTAGAAGGAATAATGTTTGGCAGATGAGAAGAAGGACTCATGAGAAAGAGGAGAAATAGAGATGATAGGGGACTTATTTGAAATCAAACCTAATTCATCCGGGCTGGAGCAGTGAGCTTGAGACAGGAGTGGGAGCCTGAGATCTGGGGAGGAGGCAGGAACAGGATCTGAGGGCTCTAAGGGCAAAGGGAATCGGAAAACTGGCAGAACTTGTTCAGGTTTGCATTTTTGAAAGACCACACTGGCTGCAGGGTCGGGAATGGATTGGAAAGAGAGGCAGGGAGACCAGTTAGGGGCCTGGGGCAATACTCCACACTAGAGATGAATACACCTCAGCTCTTGTACTCATAGTTGGGGGTGCCCAGACCAGCAACGTCTGCAACACCTGGGAGCTTTCGAGAAACACAGACTCCTGTCCCCACCCCCACCAGGACCTCTGAACCAGGATCTGCACTTTAACAATATCCCCAGGTAAGGATAAAGCCGCGGGCCAAGCTGAGAGATAAAGGGTAGAAACACAAGACAGACTGAGTCTTAGAATGTAAACCATGAGAGAGAAGAGAGATTAAATTTTAAATTCAATGGCCCAAATAATTTGTATCACCCACATTACTTCTCACCTGTAACTCCCTATTGACTTTTCAAAAACAGGGGTTGCTGAGTTTCACTAGGAATTCTTAAATGCTGTAGCTCACTGTGGCCAAGTCTCACCTTCCAGTCCCCTCTTTTGTGGGCCCAGAAACTCGATTTTTGTCAGTGTGCCTGACCTTGGGGATACTGCTCCATGATAATCACAGAAGTATATAAGCCAGCATCAATGCCAATTTTTTTTAAGTTTTGTATTTTTTTAAACATTTTTTATTGAGTTATAGTCATTTTACAATGTTGTGTCAATGCCAATTTATTAATTAACAGTGAGAACTATAAAATGGTGAAGGACATCCTCTTCAGCATGAAAACAACTTTGGAAGCTAGACTCCATCAGAGGTTATTAGAACATAAAAGAAAAGCAAGGCTAATTATTTGAGTGGTTCTAATGTTTGAAGGCAATGAAGTAAGGCTGCTTATACTTCCCACCCCTCACCCCTATTAAAGTACAGTATTATTTTGACACTTATTAGAACTGTAAGGGAGACTTTGTTCAGGACTATTGTAATAGGGGAGAGAGGTCAGTGCCACCTCTGAATAGGGCAAAGACAGCTGGGGATTTCGAGCCCAGAAGCAGAGTGAGGTGGGACTGGATGGGACATTACTAAGAGAAGATATTAAGGGTAGGGGGATTCTTATTAAACCCACTTAACAGGATTTCTACTGAAGGCAGGTTGAGGATTTAGGCATCAGAAGTGGGGAATGAGGAACCTGATCAGATATCAAGGGTGGGGGATTCTCTCTAAACTGATTTAGCAGAAGTCTTGCTAAAACCAGACTAAGCAGACCAGAGAGGACCCAAGGATAAGGCACAGTCAAAAAGGGGGCTCAGAGTGTTACCAAGGCTGTTGCCCAGAATCATATACCTGCCCCTCCCTTGAATGGAAACCAATTACTTTTATCTAAGTTTCAAGAGGAAGATGCAAAGAGGAAAAAACGGGAACTGGTTAGAACCAACTAGGCTCAAGATGGTGGGAGATTTGACTTCCAGTAGATCTTGAGCCTCACCATACACTTGGTGTAATATATTAGCATGCGCTAAATGACACACCCACCAGTGCCATGACAGTTGACGGTTGCCATGACAACCAGAAAAGCCCACACAAGGATTGAAAAGGAGGGTTGCATCAGTTCTGGGTCCAAACCACACCCCTGTTCTCAGGTAAGTTATGAATATTCCTCCCACTTTTTCCAGTTCCCTCCCTTTTACCTTGGTCCCCCTATATATTTGGTGTCTCCACCCAAACTGGGTTGAGAAGTTGATTTGCGAACTAGGTTCCCACTTCTCCATTCTTTGGCTATTGAATAAAGCTTGTGCTGTTTCAGTCTCAGTATCCTTTATTGGCTGCACAAATCCGACAGAA